GAGCTGTTGTAAAAGTAATTGGTAAGTGTGCGGACAGAATTTTGCCACACATATGTGTAATTAACATCATTATTAATACTGTATTGATAATTTGATGGTTAAGATATTATAACTGAAAGGTGACAGCTGCATTTTCCCTCATGTGAAGCCCAATCTCCTCTGGGACTTGTTGGCAGGGTTGAGAACATCCACGTGGATAATCCAAGTAGAAGTGGTCGATGCACATCACTGGTCCACCCCGTTAGCGATGGAGCAACAATGGTCATCTGCAGGGTTTCTACACAAGACTCTAACTCCTGATGAATAGGGGAAAAATGGTATCATTTCTGCTTAGCCCAGGTCTCTGTACCTTCTGTAAATTTCCATGGTGTTTGAGTTCTCATTCTGTGGACTGTATGGAATTAATCAAGCTTTGGCCACTGGTTTAACCACAGACTGTACTCTTCTACAGTTTCCCACAGCAAGGGCGGTGTGCACTGTCCCTGATCCAAGGGCTCCTTTCAGGTTGCCTGAAGTCCTTCGAGATCAAGAAACCGTTTGGAATTAAGGACACCAAACCTTGTGAGATATTTTGTTTTGTGTGTGTGTGTTTATTTTTATTTTTTTTAATGGAGAATGAAGGTGAGCATACAAATGCATAACATTCCATCAGAAAATGAAACTAAACCCTTGGTCGAAAAAAAGTGATTCAGCAACAGTTAAATGAGTGGAGGTGTCTTAAAGGTAATCTCATTATTCTCAAAGTATCTCTAAGATTGAGACACCAGATTTATGAACTGCCATCTCCTATATGAAAAGATAAAGAGAGAATAAATCCATGTTCATACTCACAACTGGGCCAGAGGATCCAGTTTTCATTTGATTTGAACAAGGAGAAAACGTTCATCAGGCTTTAACCAAAATACTACATATTGATTTAAGTTAGTCAACTAAAAATGGGCAAAATGACAAAACTGCTCCATAAGTAGCCATGCTACACACCTGAATACACACATCATGTTCAACAAGCAATCATTTAATTTTACTCTGCGCTATCGCTTGTTTGCTTTCAGAACACTGCACATATGATAAGAAACTTAATGTTCTGCTTTCCATGTAGCATTTTCACGATGCCCATGAAATTCTGAACCATATGATTTTATATTGTATGCTCTCTATTTTTCATTATCCAAAAGTATAATTTTCTACTGTGCTCTGGTACACAGTATGTATGAATGAAATAATGTGTTTTTCCACAGTGATGCAAAGAACTTTCACTCTTTTTTACAAAAATAACATGTCTATGTTACAAAATCAAGCTTTTTGTACGTATTAAACTGTTTATAGTTTGTACATAGCAAACTGTAAGTAGGTACAATCCTTTTAAACTTGTGAGTTACTTAACAAAAATTTCTTCTTAATTAGAAAAGTCAAACTATTTTCTCTTGTCATTTGACCTAATGACCCCATTGCATGGTTTTGGGACAGCAAATATACTTTAGTATGAGAAAGTCAACTCCAATATTTATGGAAAACTACAACGTCAAAACTCTCCCTATCTGTGTGCTGAGTGTGGGGCTCTGCTTTGTAAAAAGCAAATGGACAGAATCACAGAAAGTTGTGTTTGTCCTTCCACAGCCATAGCATGCTTAGACCATCTCGACTACAGGTAGGTAAAGTTTGAGAGTCAAATTCCAAATTCCAGATCTTCAACCACGTGGTTACAGTGGAGGCAGCCACGTTTATAAAGTGAGACCCTCCGTCCCTCTCTGGCCACACTGATTGGACCAGACAAAAGCACCTGACCCAAGCTGGGCCAATGAGCGTCTTCCATTTGAAACTACCAGAAATGGCAACTAAAAGAGCTTAGTTTTAACTTGGCTGTATTTGACTGCAGTATATAATTTTGGAAAAAGAATGCAGGGTCTGTTCACTCTGATGGTAGTGTCTTTTGCTGTGCAGAAGCTCTTTAGTTTAATGAGATCCCATTTGTCAATTTTGGCTTTTGCTGCGTTGCTTTTGGTGTTTTAGACATGAAATCTTTGCCATGCCTATGTCCTGAATGGTACTACCTAGGTTTTCCTCTAGGATTTTTATGGTATTAGGTCTAACATTTAAGTCTCTAATCCATCTTGAATTAATTTCGTATAAGGAGTAAGGAAAGATCAGTTTCAGCTTTCTACTTATGGCTAGCCAATTTCCAGCACATTTATTAAATAGGGAATCCTTTCCCCATTTCTTGTTTCTCTCAGGTTTGTCAAAGATCAGATGGCTGTAGATGTGTGGTATTATTTCTGAGGACTCTGTTCTGTTCCATTGGTCTATATCTCTGTTTGGGTACCAGTACCATGCTGTTTTGGTTACTGTAGCCTTGTAGTATAGTTTGAAGTCAGGTAGCGTGATGCCTCCAGCTTTGTTCAATGGGAGAAAATTTTTGCAATCTACTCATCTGACAAAGGGCTAATATCCAGAACCTACAAAGAACTCAAACAAATTTACAAGAAAAAAACAAACAACCCCATCAAAAAGTGGGCAAAGGACATGAACAGACATTTCTCAAAAGAGGACATTCATACAGCCAACAGACACATGAAAAAATGCTCATCATCACTGGCCATCAGAGAAATGCAAATCAAAACCACAATGAGATACCATCTCACACCAGTTAGAATGGCAATCATTAAAAAGTCAGGAAACAACAGGTGCTGGAGAGGATGTGGAGAAATAGGAACACTTTTACACTGTTGGTGGGATTGTAAACTAGTTCAACCATTATGGAAAACAGTATGGCGATTCCTCAAGGATCTAGAACTAGATGTACCATATGACCCAGCCATCCCATTACTGGGTATATACCCAAAGGATTATAAATTATGCTGCTATAAAGACACATGCACACGTATGTTTATTGCAGCACTATTCACAATAGCAAAGACTTGGAATCAACCCAAATGTCCATCAGTGACAGATTGGATTAAGAAAATGTGGCACATATACACCATGGAATACTATGCAGCCATAAAAAAGGATGAGTTTGAGTCCTTTGTAGGGACTTGGATGCAGCTGGAATCCATCATTCTTAGCAAACTATCACAAGAACAGAAAACCAAACACCGCATGTTCTCACTCATAGGTGGGAACTGAACAATGAGATCACTCGGACTCAGGAAGGGGAACATCACACACCGGGGCCTATCATGGGGAGGGGGGAGGGGGGAGGGATTGCATTGGGAGTTATACCTGATGTAAATGACGAGTTGATGGGTGCAGCACAGCAACATGGCACAAGTATACATATGTAACAAACCTGCACGTTATGCACATGTACCCTACAACTTAAAGTATAATAATAATACATAAATTAAAAAAAAAAAAAAAAAAGAATGCAGGGTCTTTTTCTCTTCACCAGGCGGGAAATTGAAGGCTCATCTGCAATGATGAAGAATAAAAAGCCCTCCTGGAGTGAAGCAAGGCTGAGAGACAGAAGAGAGAATGTCCTGGGCTCCAATCAGAGAGGAGGACTGTGTTTCATTACAGTGGGGAGGATCAAGGGGCTCCCTGGTCCCCTGCTTCCAAGAGCCCCCATATCCTGATAACCAAATCTCTCCTTCCTTTTATTTCCAAAATTCCTCCAGTGGATTTTCTGTTATTTGTAATCAAGACAATCCTGACCACAAATCACAATACTAAATATTTTTGAAATCCAAAAAGATATAAGGAGAGTGTGAGTTTAATAATCATTAACAGCTGGTCTGAGGCTTGAGGGGGTAGAGACTGTGAAAGTAATAAAGTCATGAGAGGATTTCCCTTGAAGTACGTCAGCGCGAGTGGCTCACATTGTCATTCATGCTTTGTCATCACCCTGTGAGGGTGTATATCATTAGAAAGATGAGGCTACCACAAAAATATTTTTTGAATAAACCACCTGAAATCGCCTTCAGCTTCAACAATGCCTTTTCTCCATAGTGTAAGAAAGGTGATTGTGCAACGCGTATCTCAGCCCTCACAGCATTGCTAGGATATGGGGATGTTTTCTCCTATTTTGCAGATTTAAAAAAAAAAAAAAAAAAAAAAAAGCTTGACTTGGAGAACTAATTTGCTTCAAATCACACAGCTAGTCAAAGACCAAGAAAAGGCTTGGACTCAATTCTTCTGGTTTTTAAGCAAAACATTTTTCTCTATGATACCTTGCCCTTGTTCCTGTCTGTTTGCTAGACAAGAATATTGGTTTCACTGCATTTAGTTATGAAAGTGCTTAAGGAGTTACTTTATCATTTCGGAAAGGGTGTGTTAAGAAACACGTTATTTAACTTACTTTTATTCATATTTTTATATTGTGTAAAAATTGCCAGAAGACATAGAAGCAGAACATTTTGCCTTAATAGCATCTTAAAGATCCCTAGCTGGAAGCCTCCAAAAGAAGCTTGCATTGAGACATGGTTTTACTAAACATCTGGAAATGTGCACATTCATATACAGGAATAAGAACTTCGTTTCATAACAAAAACAATAATTATATAACACTTCTTAATATTAGGTATCACTTCCTAATATTTTCACTTTCACACTCAGCTAAATTTTAATATGGATTATCTTGCTCAATCCTTAAACCAATCTGTATAAGGCAGGCAACATAACTTTTCCAAAGTCGTACAGGGAACAAAAACCAAAACTAGGACCCAAATCAAGGATTCTCTGATGATCTCCATGCTTGTAATGTTCTCTTTCTTTTTCCCCCACTGGTATGTGGACCATGGTCTTCTTAACAAAAGAGCTTCAATATGTGGCATTAATTATTATATACACACACAGACACATACACAAATACAAAGGAGATTTGCTATTAACTTAGATTGTACAATTAAAAACCAAAAGCCAGTCATTACCATATGGCTTAAACCGGAACCTGTGTTCTAGTTCCAATATCAGGTAAATATGTTATTACTGAACTAACAATGTAAGAAAAAAAATATAGCTTCAATGGTGAAGCAATACCACATGTTAGAAACATATCAACTTACCATAGTGAATGCTTGAAATTGATGCAAAAGCAGCGGTCAAATGCCAACAGTTATACTTGACCCGTGCAGCTTTTTCCTTTCAAGATGTGTAGCATCCAAAGCAATGGAATGACTCAAAAATATTGTAAGTTTCTAGAAGCCACATCTGTGCAAAAATGGGACCAATTCAGTCATACAACTAGATAATATGTTGAGCAAATCCAGTGAAACCCAGTTATGTCACCAGGTATAGCATGCCGAAATAGAGGCCATTCCTGAGTCTCAAGTTTGAACATTGTGAGTTTGCAGACAAAGACAAAGATACGTCTCTGGGAACATGTTCTGCACCCTGCCCAGGGCCTATAGAGCAGACAATCTTATGAAGTGAGACTGCTCATGGTTTGAAGATGAGCATTGGTCTTGCTGCCCTCTAAATGAAGACAGGACACTCAGTTGCATCCTTATAAGTGGGCCAGGTACAGTGAGAGGGAGGCATGGCTCACAGAATCACAGACATATTACAGAAGACATAGGAAACTTTATAAGCATGAGGTTGTCATAGAACCTTGGATTTTGGTAACAGAGGCAAAGCAGAGAGCTTCATTTAAAAAAAAAGTCTCTGAGGCAGTCATCATGAAAAAGCAGCTCTTTGAGTACAAAGATAAATGTTCACTTGGGAGATTCACCTTTAAGCTTTATTTCTGGTGCCAGTGCAGGGAATGATCCTGTCACAAAATAGAGCTTCCCCTTGTAGTGCCTGAGATCTTAATGGCCTTGAACTGGCCTGCCTTGCAAGAGCAATTGGCCAGCTCTCAAGGGAGGCAAACATCTGCACATATTTTTTGATGACCATGCATCTCACTAATAAAAAATTCCTAATCAAAGAGGAAGGTGTTTGCAGACTACCTATATGAAAAAAGACCTAGAGTATATCAATGCTATTATCATGATTAACTTAATAGAGAACTCATCTCTTACTTTAAAAAATGTACTCTATTTCTCACAAAATTCTTAAACTGGTGATGTATGTGAGTGCTTCTACAGGGTATTAGGTTTAGCTGTTTCAGCTGTTGAGTTGGTTGACATTTGTATTGCTTACTGTTATCTTGGTCTCTGTGTTTATGCACGGTCTAACAGTAAAATAAACAAACAAACAAACAAAACAAAAACCAAAATTTCAATAGTGGAAAGTAGTTTTCCCCCAGATTGATATTAAAATTTATCTGACCACAAGGTTTGGGAGGCATGATATAGGATACAGTGTGAGCATTCTATTCTTGAAACTAGGAAGTGAGGTGCACACCAGCCCAGCCAAGCCTGCATAGATGATAGTGTGTTGTCTCTGTTTTATGCAGTTATTAATATGAAATGCTTCCTCATTGCATCACCTTGATTTGAGCTTTCAGCAGGATGGTGACAGTTACACTGCTTCAGGAAAGCAGATAGCTAGAACATCATGGGAAAGCACTTATATAAAGACTCTCTCTTTTTTTTCCTTCTTTCTTTCTGGCTCGCTTTCCCTCCTTTGCTGCTGGTGACCACCCATGCTTGAGCAGTGTTTTGGCTGCTTTCCCACTGATGAGTTTTCCAAACCTTGTCAGGAGCTGGCAGTTAAATGTTCTGCCGCCAGCTTACAGAAAATACAAGTTGGATTGCCTTGTTCCTGCTTTCTTTCAAACTTGCATGTTTATCCATCTTCACCTTGATTCCTAGAAGAGTCAAACATCTGATCCTCAGGTCAAGCCTGAAGGAAATGGTTGTCCCAGCTGAAAATAAGATCGATCCCTATTTGCTTTTCAGTGCTCTTGTGAAAGATCAGTGTTTAATATTTTCTCTGTGTGATGCAATGCTTCTTAATAAAAACAAAAAGGGATGTTTGACCTTAACTTTAAGAGGTCCAAGCAACAGTGACGTTCAGCAGAGAGAATATTATTCCATTTGCATGGGTCTGATGAAAGAAATAATTCTGACATTGGATAACCAAGCATAGCTGAGAAGGGAGGAAAAGAGGAGAAATAAAGACAGAATTAGGCGACGGGCCCCAGCAAAACAACACACCACAAGGCATTCAATTCCAGATTAGATCTTGCTTTTATGCCCTTCTCTCAAAAAAAGATGCTTTAAATTATTTAATGGAGAAAGGTAGTACTTTGAACTGCAGGAAAATCAAAATGTTACAGCTCTGAGGGGTTTTTTGGTCTTATGGTATCTCGTGACTAAAACCAGCTTTTAAAAAAAAAGAAACTAAAAAGCAAAGTTGTCTCATCTTTTATAAAAGCAAGTTCAAACATTTGGTACAGATGAAGGCTGGTCAAGCATTTAAACACATAATTTCAATGTCTGATGGCTCTAGAATAAAAGGCACTTGATTCAAAACGGAATGTCATGTTGGTCAGTAATATATGCTTCCACTAAATAACCAAAATACACAAATTGAAATAAAGTGAAATTCCTTTTCCAGAGTTAATGAAAGGTTCCTGTTTGTGAATTTGGGGCTTTGAAGTCCAAGCCTTCCAAACAGCACCAGGAATTTACTGGTGATTTATTACTATTTGGACAAGTGGCGAACAGAGCATTACTCTACGGAAAGTCCACATTCCCTACCTGTCAAGGGAGCCTTCCTGAAATGGGGACACCAACTCCCCTTGCTGCAAGTCCTCCTAGGGCTGTACCTCAGGTGGGGTCCACATAGTCTGGTGTGGTCATCTCTCCTGGGCCAGCGCCCTCCCACTCTCTCTCCTCCAGCCCCCGCCCCATCCTGTGTTGCTCATCTCCCAGTTGCTCTTCCCACTCACCCCAGGCTCCAACAAAACTCACTTTCTCTGCCCTGATCCTTCCTTTGTGACACTTGGGTTATACCATGAACTGATTCCAGGAACAGTTTTGCCTGCATTACTGCTCCATAATAACTGGATGTGGAGAGACTTTTTCAGACCCTTCTCAGATTCTCTCAGGTGGCCAATTCCACACATACAAATAGTGACCACTCTCCCTCCCCATACTTATATGCCCACAGTGCCCATCCTGGGAAAGAACCGTGCCCTAGAACTGTCTAGACTGAAAGAACCTCTGGGAGACAGGGGACTTCCCTGACATGGGTGGGTTCTGAAATAGGAGCATCTGTGGGCTCAGGTGTTGGAGCACTCACGGTCATTGCTGGATGGGACCCAAGGCAGAGACTCAGGGTGGGGGTGAGTATGTGTTTTGACACTACTCATATGGGAGTGTCTGGACAACCCCTCCATAACTTACTACAGTGTGGTCTTACATAAAACTGATCATAACACCTTCACAAAGCTGAGGGGTATTACTGGATTGTTTTCTTATTGTGTTATTTGCTTGGAAACAACATGATTCTAACAACCATTAATATAAACTACCACCAATAAGCCATAGAATGATTACCTTATCCAAAAGTTCAGCTTGCTATTTTTCGAGTCTCTGGTTTTACATATCCTCACATGATCTATCTCAATCAGTGCGTGTATGATAGACTCCTGCAGGTATTCTTTTGTGAAGTGGCTATCCAGATGCAAAAAAAAGTACAAGACAAAAGCTGTCATCAAGGGCTTCATGGTTTAGTTGAAGATAAAGAAATAGGTCTTAAAGGAATCCGTGAGTGAGGTTACGATGGAGGACAGAGCACTGCAGAGAGTTTCAGAGTGGACCCCCCGGAAGCTGGACAGTGGGGCCGCAGACCCTGGCTGTTCACTTACTGATGCGTACAGCCTTGACACATAGACTGGTGACAGGACCTCTGAGCTTCAGCTTTCACATCCAAAAAGTGAAGACGATGTGGCATCCACCTCACAGGTTCCAGGGAGCGTGAAATGCCGCCGCTGTGCTGTACTTGGAGCTCTGAAATGTGTGGGGAAGGATATCCACAACAACGGCTGATAGAACGTCCTGGAGTCACAAATAACAAGCACTCTTAGGAAAGGTGCCATTTTAGTTAGATATGACACAATGAATAGGATTTGGATCAGAAGGGAAGGACTGTCTATTTCAGGGAGTGGAGAAAAAAAGAATGAGCAATGAGTCTTCATCTGCCTTTGTGTCCCCAAATTATGTCTTGTTTCTCAGGTCTTATGGAAATACTTCCCTCATGTAAGAGAGAAAAAAATAAACATAGTCGTATTAATTTTGGGTGAAACATTTAAAATCAGAGACATCATGCACAGCTTCGCTGCATACAAAAAGCCTAAAGGAGAAAGAGGAACAGAAAATGTTGTTTAATTAGGATGGAGGTTGGAGGAAAGAATGATCTTCAAATAGTTCAGAGTCCTGTCATTTGGTTGAAACCCATGTCTAAGTAAAACTCTCCATAGTGCCCTCCCTGCCCTTCTTCCCCACCCTTCCTGTCCTAACCAGCTCTTCCCCAGAACAGCTCTCACCTTCCCAAAGCAGAATAAAGCCCAGCACGGTGTTGAAGGAAAGTTGCACTTTTACATTTCTAGATGATTTCCTAACAGAAAACATATGAAACCTCAGAACTAAAACTTGGGTGAGAATTCCAAGCTCCAACCTATGACCTGAAGAAACCAAGTTCATCGGGTGACTTACAAATGTGTTAATTATAACTCTCTTCATAGAATGACATCAAGACATTTGAATATATGAAATTTAAGAATTTACTCACCTGCCTTTATACTTACATCAGGCCAAGTGGCTGGAAAGACAGGGTTTTTGCTTTTTCCAGAACATAGGGATATTCGCTTTCATTCACATTAAACAAGCTGAAAAGCTGTTGAAGTTTCCTTGAGATGTTTGTAAAGAATACTGGAGCAAACATTTGGAAATTTGGGAGAGGCAGAATGCATCTCCAACACTGTACTAGACTCTTGCTTTTTAGTAAATGTTATGTCTGGCTTCACTTTGAGTGTGAAGGATGAATGTTTTTCAAAACTCTCATTGCTGTACAAATATGATGTGTTAATGCCTCAAAATCACTGTTTACCCAGCTGCTTCCATGTAAGGTACCTGGAACTCTCGCCAGAACTTTTTCTGTTTATGCATCTACTCTCATTTTCATTGCCATTCCTGTAGATTATTCTAAGAGGCAAGAGAAGCATGGTGATTTTGAGGAGGTGGCTCCAGATACTCTTAATATTTCCACAGGCACCAAATCCCAGCTTGATGGCAAGATGGAAGTTAACTTGGGTGACATATGCATGATTAGAGAATCCATCATCAGGGCATTCCCACCCACAATTTTCCTCCCAAGATTCTGTTATTCTTTGTTAGGACAAAGACTACCCAGAGGACGTCATTGGAAAGTCTGATGTAGCTATGAACCACAACTTTCCTGTAGAAAACCCTACAGCTGTTCTTGTAATGAGATATGTTCAATTTCAGGAGCTTGGAAAAGTGGAAATATTAGGTTGGCAGTTAGAATAAAATTCAGGAAAGATTCACATAGTTGGTAATTGAAGCTCTAAGAATGCGTGAGGTCATGAAGCAAGAGAATAGAAAGAGAGAAGGCCCAGAGCCAAGCTGAAGCATTCTCCAACATTTAAAGATCAAGAAGGTTGTTTATTCAGGTATGAATAACAATTCAAAAATCTTTAAAATGTAAAGTATTATGTCTGAAGTGGATCAGTGAAATGAGAGCTTCAGAAAGACTCCAGCGAGTCTGGCATCAGAATCAGTTACTGAGGGGGTGTGGTGAGGGGTGGAGGCAGAATGGAGAGGAACATGGGAACTAGGAATGCCCAGCACCCCTGCACAGGTGCTGAGGTTGGTAATGTTCTGCAGCCCAAGGCAAACTCTATGCAGTGCATACCTGGTCGCCTCCAAAAGGCACGTGGAGAGCTTCAAGCGATGCTTCACTTCCAGGAACAGCAGACATTTCTAATCATCTTTACAACCTCCCAAGTAAAGATGCTCGGAGGCTTTCCATGTCAACAGCAGGAGGCTTATCTTCCAGAAAGTTAAGTCTGTGCCATTCTCAGCCTGAGCCAGTATGTTGTGAAGAGCATTACCATGGCGATTTCACATTCTAAAACTGTGTTTGTCTCTTAAATGCCAGGTGCCAATGAGTCATAGAGGTGTTTTATTCTAGAACCATGTACCCTCCAAAAAAGGAGTTTGTACAGTTTTACCAAGAAACTATTATTATTGTCTACAGTTCATGCAGTTCCAAAACTATCTTTGCCTCCTTTTACTCATAATTTGAACCCAGTCTTTTCTAAGGCGCTGGCCTCCCAATGTTGCTGTAGATAATTCAGCCTTGGTTTCTTATGGTTAAAGATTATGACTCATACCAGCTTACAAGCCTGGAGAATTACACTGAAGTTGATGCCCACAGTGATCCGATCTGGAGATTCCATAGCATATTCTGCTACTACCTTGAGAGACTTTTATATTGATACAAATCATGTAATTACCTCTTTATGACAATTAAATTACAAAATAGTCCATGCAGTGATCCATGGTGTCATCTCGTCTTGATAAGGAAGGGGTAGCTAGAGGAGCAATTGCTGGATGCCTTTAAGTCATCCTCCAACATGAACCACCTTCTTATAAAAGATTAGACAATAGCATTTATATATCCAACCTGGATGCTATATTTTCTAAGTCATGTCTTAAGTACAGCATCTAGAAAAAACCTACATCAGTAGTGCCTAAGTCTGGCACTGCAGGGAAGCTGGTTTAAAATTACAGAGCCTTTGGAATTTTCACATGTTCAAAACATCCAACCTAGAGCCTGAGAATCTGTATTTTTAATGAGCATCACTCATGCATTGCTATGGAACACGCATTGCATATATAGCATTTTCTAATATACAGGATCAGGTCAGAGGAAGAATGTCTGTGTATGAGAACTGCCTAAATGATGCACAGTTCCACTGTCTGGTTAGAGTTGAAACTGTTTTTGTACTTACGACCATCCCATGCAATGTCACTGGTTACATATGGTTTACCAGATGTGATCATTACTGCACTCATCTTGGTTGATATGTGGATAATAAAAGGGCCTTATTAGAGGTTTTTCTTATGCTCCACAACCTTCAAGTACCTGCTGATTAGAAAAAGTTAGAACAGTTATCTAAGAGACCCTGGAGGACGTCTTCAGTATATGTCATCAACAAACTCCATGATTACTCCTCTCTTGGCTTGGCACTTTGGTGGGTTAACAATGGGGACGTGCTGCAAGGCTTGTTCCCACCAGCTCCACATACTTGCACTAGGCTTGGAAGGATATGTTCCAGGCATTGACCCAGACTGCATCTATGTATTCCTTTCTTACACAGGATCTCATTGCCTGTGGGATTTTTGTCTGTCAGAGGTGATCCAGGAGAGACTGGCTGATGGCTGATGCGATCACCTTAGCAGCCCAGGAGACGTGTGTCCTTCAGGTTGTTTTTGACAACAGCAAAACCATCAGGAGCATCCCCTCCTTGATGGGACTTCTCAGAGTGTGGTCCATGGATTTCTGCATCAGCTTCCCCTGGGTGGTTGCTAAAAAACACTCAAAGGCCAAGCATGGTGGCTCATGAGTAATCCCAGCAGTTTGGGAGGACGAAGCAGGAGGATCACTTGAGGCCAGGAGTTCCAGACCAGCCTGGACAACACAGTGAGACCTTGTCTCTAAGAAACTTAGAAAAGAAAATTAGCCAGGCATGGTGGCTACTCGGGAGGTTGAGACAAGAGGAAAGGTTGAGCCTGCGAGTTCAAGGCTGCAGCGAACTATGATTGTGTCACTGCACTTCAGCCTGGGCAACACAGCAACACCCTGTTTTACATCATCATAATAATAAAATAAAAACCACTCAACTTCTGGATACCTCCCCAGGTCTACTGAATGGGAATTTCTGCTGGCCCCTGGAATCTGTTTTTAACCATTTCTCCTGGCAAGTCAAATATACAGTAATGTTTTGGAATGAAGGTGCTAATTACAGAGGCTGAGAGGGAAGGAAGCAGTAACTTGCCACCTTTCACCATGCCCAGCTCTGGAATAACACAAAGAAGCCTTGGAAGGGCGAGTTCCACTCTAGTACCTGGCTGTTAACATAGGAGTATTACTGCCAGATCCTAAACCAGCCACACCTTCGGGATTACTCATCTCAATAAACGACATTTCCACTTTATTTATGTAAGTATTTATTTTGAGATGGAGTCTGGCTCTGTTGCTCAGGCTGAAGTGCAGTGGCGCAATCTCTCCCGGGTTTAAGCGATTCTCCTGCCTCAGCCTCCCAAGTAGCTGGGATTATAGGCACCTGCCACCACACCCGGATAATTGTTGTATTTTTAGTAGAGACGGGGTTTTGCAGTGTTGGCCAGGCTGGTCTCAAACTCCTGACCTCAGGTGATCTGCCCGCTTCCGCTTTCCAAAGTGCTGGGATTACAGGCGTAAGCCACCATGCCCAGCATTTTCCACTTCTGAGGGTCTCTTTAACGTTTTCCCTCGCCCTCCTCATCCAAAATACAGCAGGAAATGCTGCCTGCTTTCACCAGGTCCCATCACTTTTACCACCTTTGCCTGGACAATGGCAGGTGCCTCTGCTTCTCCCTCCAGGTCCCCTCACCCACTGTTGATGTCCATGCAGCAGCCAAACTGTTCCTCTGAAAACAGCAGTCAGGATATGTGATATCACAGCCCAAACTTTTCAATGACTTCCAGCTTCGCTATAGAATAAAACCGAATGTCCTTACAGTGGCCACCAGGTCCCTAAATATCACATCAACCTCTGAGAAGCCACACTGACTTCTCAGACCTTGTTTCGCTCCACTTCCCCAGGACCTGCCCCCCTGCCACTCCTGAAGGACATCAGACTTGCCTCTCCCGGGACTTTGCAGGGCTGCTCCCTCTGCCTGGAATCCTCCATCTCTAGGACCCCCTCCATTCATGCTGGTCTCTGCACAAATGGCACTGCCCTGTGGCATCTCAGATGACCTGTCCTGTAGAGCTTCCCACCACTTCTTTTCCCTTCTACTTCACTTTCATTCATAGCATATTTTATTTCCTGATGTGTTTGTTTTATTTGGTCCAGTTCTGTTGAGGGCCCTCTCCCAGGAAGCAAACTGCCAATTTCTCACTGTATCTTCCATGGCACAAAGAAAGCTAGCTAGCTAGCTCTCTGGCCGCTGCTGCTGCTTCTTCTTCTAAATAAATTTTGTTGTACATATTTGGGGCTTAGAACATGATGTTATGGGATAGGGGCAGTAAAATGGTTACAATAGTGAAGTAGTTTAACATGTCATCTCAGTTACTTTTTTGTGGCAAGAGCAGCAAAAATCTACTTACTTAACAAAAATCTCTAATGCAATGCAGTGTTATTAACTTTAGTCCCCAGGATGTGCATTAGGTCCTGAGACATGCCATGTTACATATCTGCTATTTTATATCCTTTCACTTATATCTTCCCATTTCCTCTACCCCCACCCGGCTCCTACCACCACCTGTGGTAACTACTGTTTCATTCTCTGTGTATTTGAGCCTTTAAAAAATATTCCATCTATAAGTGAGATCATGCCATATTTTTCTTTCTGTGTCTGGCTTATTTTACTTGGCACAATGTCCTCCAGGTCCATCTATGTTGTGGGAAATGGCAGGATCTCCTTTTTAAAGGCTGAATAATATCCCTATATGTGTATATATATCACATTTTCCTTATCCATTCCTCTATTGATGGGCATTTAGGTTGTGTACATAATGCTGCAATAAACATGGGAATGTTGATACCTTTAGAAGATGGTGATGTCGTCTCCTTTGGATATCTACTCAGAAGAGGGCTTGCTGGGTATTATGGCAGCTCTGTTTTTAATTTCTTTAGGAACCTCTATGCTGTTTTCCATAATGGCTGTACCAATCCACACTTCCACCAGCCATGTACTGGGGCTTTATCCATACCCTGGCCAACATTTATTACCTCTTGTCTTTCTGATAATAGCCATCCTTACAGCTTGGCTATTTCAAAGATAGTCAGAGATATGACATAATATCTCATAGTGATTTTAATTTGCATTTCCCTTATGATTAGTAATCTTGAACACCTTTTCATATACTTGTTGGCTGTTTTTGTATCTTTTTTGGAGAAATGTCTGTTTGGGTCCTTGGTCCATTTTTGCTTTTTGTTGCTGGTGGTGTTGTTTTCGAAATGGAGTCTTACTCTGTCGCCCAGGCTGGAGTGCAGTAGTGCAATCTCAGCTCACTGCAAGCTCCGCCTCCCAGGTTCATGCCATTCTCCTGTCTCAGCCTCCCGAGTAGCTGGGACTACAGGAGTCCACCACCACTCTTGGCTAATGTTTTTGTATTTTTAGTAGAGATGGGGTTTCACCATGTTAGCCAAGATGGTCTTGACTTTGGTCCATTTTTAATCAAGCTATTTTATTTTCTGCAGTTGAGTTATAAGAGTTTCTTATAAATTTTGGGTATTAGCCCTTTATCACATACATGGATAAGATAAGGATCCAATTTCATTCTGGTCTCATAAAGGCACTAACCCCACTCATGGGGGCTCTATTCTCATGACCTGTATTAGTCAGGGTTCTTCAGAAGGACAGAACTAATGATATATGCATATATGAAGGAGAGTTTATTAGGGAGAATTGACTCACATGATCACAAGGTGGAGTCTCATGATAGGCCGTCTGCAAGCTGAGGAGCGAGGAAGCCAGTAGTGGCTGAGTCCAAGCCCCAAAGCCTCAAAAGTAGGGAAGCCAACAATGCAAAGCCATCTGTGGCCAAAGCCCCAAGAGCCCCTCGCAAACCACTGGTGTAAGTCCAAGAGTCCAAAGGCCAAAGAACCTGGAGTCTGATGTTCAAGGACATGAAGTATCCAACATGGGAGAAAGACCAAAACCAGAAGACTCAGCAAGCCAGTGTATTCCACCTTCTTCCACCTGCTTTTTTCTAGCTGCACTGCCAGTTGATTGGATGGCGTCCACCCAGATTGAGGGTAGGCCTGTGTCTCCCAGTCTACTGACTCAAATGTTAATCTCCTCTAGCAACACCTTTACAGACACACCCAGAAACAACACTTTGCATCCTTCAATCCAATCAAGTTGACACTTAGTATTAACCACCACATGACATCATCACCTCCC